AGCAGGAATTATTTCCTCTTCCTTTTTGGGCTGAAAAGACTGCATCATTCCAGGAACCTTTTAAAAAACTCTGTTTACAACAGGACAGATCTGCAAGAATCACTTAAACAGCCTAGAACAGAGAGGGGTGGAGTGCACCCCAAGCCCTTCTGAAGTTCAGCACAGATGCAGAAAGGAATGGAAGGGTCTGATCCTAGCATGCTTGCACTAAGTGCTGTCATATTGGAGAAGGGGTTGCCCTTGCTCTCTGCCAGGGAAATGTTCTGAGGCTCTCCACCTCCCTCTGAACTGGGCAACAGCAGAGAAGATACCTAAGAACTCGAGGAGACTGGGCTCACAGCAGGCACACAGATTCTCCCTGCTGCCCCAGGGCTGGCACTGCCTTTCCGAGAGCCATCTCTCCCCTCAGCCTGCAGGCCAGTGACTGCCCAGCTGCAACCTCTGGCCGTGTCAGTTTGCTGGTGGGTATCTCTGAAGTAGCAGGAGAGATGCCAAGCTGCCTGCAACAGACCTGCGGGTTGCAGAAGTTCATTTGGGCTAGGTGGCATCCCTGGTACTGAGAAGACTGTTCCGTGCTACGGAAAATGGCTGGCTCCAGAATAGTCCCATTCCAGCCTAGATTTGACAGACACCCAGTGGGGCCCAGAAAGCATTGCCAGCCTGTGCCTCAGGTTCTTGTTCTTCTCTTCCCTAATGAAGTGAAAAACCAGAGCAGCACCTCAGTGCCTCCTCTCACCATTTGAGGAGGCCAAAACCACCCAAGCACTGGGGAAAAAAAGCTCCTGGTACATGAAAGCCTGTGGGCCTAGCCCCGCAGCAGGACGTGCTGATCTCCCAGCCCATTTGTTCTGCAATAAATGTAGATGGTAAGAAAGTTTTGACTGGCTGTGATTTTTTTGCTATGGAGCTCCGTTCAGTTCCCGGAGGAGAACACCGCCGGAGGCAGCATGGCCAAGGGAGGTGCCCCGCTGTGCCACACACAGGTGCTGGCCGCTTTTCCTGCTGCTGTCTGGTGAGGCGTGTGACGTGGTCCCGGTGGGTTCCGCTCCCAGCTCCTGCCTCTAGCTCCCACTCCCGTTCCCGCTCTCAGCTCCTGTTCCCACTCCCGTTGCCGCGTCTGCTCCCACTCTCAGCTCCCGTTCCTGCACTCATGCCCGCTCCCGCGGAGGGCGGGAGGGTGCCGGCGCGGGTGCAGGTGCGGG